TTCATGGTATTGTTTTCAGAATTAAATCAGAAAATAGATAAGACAGAGAGGCGGGAAGCTCTAACAGCCAAACAAATTAGCCATTTCTTTGTCTCCTGGCTGAAGCTGTGCCCTTAACAAGTCTGAGTCCTGTATCTAGCCTTGTAAGCATCTCAAACACAGGGTCAGACCTTGAAGTTGCATTTTACTCCAATTCTCTTCTACCCAGAATTATTTATTTTAATATTTTAGACAGTGGTATTTGGTAGAAAGCTGTTTTTATTTAAAGTAAATTATCTCAAATGCTTAAATTAATCACAGGACACAGTTGTCTCATTAGTGATTTTTGATTGAAAGAAAGAATGAAGAGAAGACTAGAAAGACAGGTGGATAGATGGACAGACAGGTAAATGGATAGATGGACGGATGGATGGTTGGAAGGCTCCTGGCCCTGATTTTGCCTTCATGACCCAATACAGATAGAACATTTGTGACAATCTAAATAAGATGAAGTCCAAATTCCAACACTCTGGCCTTAATGGTCATCCTGGGTATTAAGTGGTGGTGGGCGCAGGACAGACTCTGGCAGATCTAGCTTCCAATTTCCCTGGTCTCTCTACTGTTCCTCACGTTCGCCTGCCTCTCCAGGAACTAGCTCCTACTTGCCCTCCAAACGTCCATTTCTGAAACCACCAACCCAGGAATCCTTTCCTGACAAGAAGTTTCAGCCCAAGGTGTTCTTCCCCTACTCCAAGACCATGGAAAGTGAATGTATGGCTCAGCAGCCCCCAAACTCAGGGCGCATCAGAGTCACGGGGAGGGCTTATTGAACCCTCCCCCCTGATTTTCTGATCCAGACTGTACAGGAAGAGAATGGGAATTCCAACAAGTTCCTAGGTGTAGTCCAGAGACCACATTTTTGAGAACCTAGGGCCTAACCCAGGAGATCCTGCAGAAATTACAGCAAGTTACGTTGTCCTTGGAGGAAGGCTTTCTCAGGAAGGAATTTGTTGATCTCTGATGTGGTACCTTCATTCTGTCTCACGGAACCCCCATAATAGGGTGCCTTTACCACCCTGGGTTTTCAGAAGACAAAGCGGGTTCTCAGCAGGGAGTCTGCTCAGCTAAGGCTGTCGGAGCCCAGATTGTCCCCACTAACCTGTGATTACAGTCTGGCTGGAAAAGCGATTGTCACATGACCACAAAGCAGTAGCTGACCCCATGAAATACACCATGTGTGAGCTCCTGTGGGGGTGGACAATGGCGGGTGGATTGATTGATTAGGGATCAAACATAGAAAAGACTTAAGGCAGGAACATCCAGCCCTGGTCACTTGACCAGCTAGCTATGTGGCCCTTGACAAGTCAGTTAACCTCTCTGGGCCCCCAAGATGATGTAACCCAAACCTCTGGTGCTGGTTTGCACCTCTGACTTCTGTGCGCACACGCTGGGCGTGTGCACCCCGAGGGCCAGACTCTCGCCATCAGAGCACATGAAAGCCCAGCAGAGAAACCTTTCCTCCAGGGTGTCGTGCCCTGCAGGCAGCTCAGGACAGCAAGAGGAGGCCCAAGGCCACCTCTTTGGCCTCCTTCCCTGCCTCGGCACCAGGGATATCTAATCAGTTCTCTTGTGGCTTTTATAGGCTCAGAGAGGAAGTTACCAGAAGCCAGAAATGCAGACAACCAGTTTCTGATTAAAAGGAAACCTATTGTGTGGAAGTTATTTAAAAAAAAATAATAAAAAAAAAGAACCACCACGCTTCTCCAGTGAGCTCCGCACTGCAGGGCTGTGTCAGCCCCGAATCCATTCCGAGTCCATTAGCGGCCTAAGTGCTGGCGCTGAGCACCCAGACTCTGTGGAACCTCAGGAGTGAATCCCTCGAGAGCTGACTCAGCCCTTTGTCCTCGCAGAGGTAGAGAAATTGGATTCCAGCCTCAGAGGACAGCAGGTCTGCATTCAGGGGCCTGGGAGAGAAAAGCTGCTGCCAAAGGGGCAGGCAGCCCAGAGTGGCCCTCAGGAGCAAAGGACGAAGGCCCAGAAGAGGGAGGTACGAGGGGACTGAGTTACCCACCCCAACTCCAGTCAGACGCTAAGCACACTGTGTTATTAATCCCAACAGGGGTTCTCTAAGTTCACAGTTTTTATTTTATTTTTATTATTTACTGGTCTTTTGAGACCGAGTCAGGCTGGCCCTGAATTCATGACAACCCTCCTGCTTTGGCCTCTTGAGTGCTAGGATTATAAGCATTTGCCACCACACCAGCCTTTCAAGCTTTGTGTTATTATCTCCACCTTAAAGCTGTCCTAACTAAGGCTCAGACTGTCAATGATATACGTAGCTAGCTGGACTGGGGCCAATGTCCACATAGTACCCGATGTTGGTTCCCAAGAAGGATCTACAAGGAGAGCAGAGAATGGGCTGCTATAGGGAGTACCCTGAGCCCTGCTTGGGCAGAACTGTGGTGGGGAATGGACCTCACCTACACCACGAAAGCTCACCAGACCCTCAGCCAGGAACCCAGTTCTTGCAGAGAAACAGAAGCAAAAAGTGGGCATTTGGGACTGGTTAGATGAGCAGTGGTTTATTCAAGGGCATTTGTCTTGAGGCAAATGCACAAGTGAAATACTTGGGGACAAGAAAGATTTGGAACGCAATGCAGTCCCACCCACAAGAGAGTGACACAAAAAGGTGTGGGTGTAGGAGACCTGTTTGCATATCTCCCAGGCCAGGGAGGAGAGTGTGGGTGGAGCCACACCAGACTCAACAACATTCTTCTTCCCCTTGCTTAGAAGGTCCCAGCCGGCAGACCCAGGCCCATAGCCCACAAGCAGAGGTCACATCTCCTGGATCTCCTTCCTAATCTCAGTAGTTTGTGACATGAGTCCACCTGGTCAGGCTGTGGTGTCACAACCATTGGCCTGTGCTGCATAACCTGCTCCCATCTCACTAACCTTCTGCATGTCCTTTGGAAGCACATGTCCATTGCAGCAAATCCACACTCCGAGCAAGTGGCAGGAGCTACTTCCTGTACACAGAGTCAGAAAATATAGCCTCATCCTCCTCTGTGTCTGGTCTCATCCAGGACATTGCTATCAACCTTTCTGCTGTCCCACTGGGAGCTGCTGCCCATCCCCTTCTCCCTGCTGGTCTAATGCCTCAAGAACAAGCTACCTGAGGACAAGGCAGGACTTGGGCCCCACCCCCAGGCTGCAGACCTCTCTGGGATAGAATTAAACCCCTTTGCCAGAACATGATCTTCTGGATCCTACCTAAGAGTCTCTAAGTCAAGACCCAAGGTCTTGTTCTCCTGACTCTACAGAGAAACACAGCCCCAAGTGCCGCCTGTGCTACGGAGCACCTAATGGGAGGCCTGGACTGCTACTGGTGGTCAACTGGTTACACCAGCTGAACTGAACCAGCCTGGTGTTGTGGCTGGCCCACCTGAGGATTGTCACCCACATAAAAGGGAGAACTGGAGAGGAAGAAGTGGTGGTGTTGGTTTTCCTCTTGCCATTGGTTCTCCTGGAGGAGCCTGTCGAGTTTCTTTTCTGATATAAACTTGGCTCTCATCATCAGAGCTTGGGACCTTGTTGTCAATGAGAGCGGCTGTGGTACACTTTGGGGAAGCTTTGGTCCCTACTTTGAGCATCACTTCCTGACTCCAGAGGGGATGATGGTGAACTGTTCAATCTCCAGGAGAAGCTTGTCACACTGGCTTCCTGATATAAACTCAATTGTTCCCATCAACAAGAAACTTGATGCCTCCTTGTCACTGAGAGTGACTGTGGTGCTTTTCAAGGGAGCCCTGGTCCTTACTTTGAGTGTCACTTCTTGGCTCCAGGCAGAAGTCTCAGAACTCACAGATCCTTATCCTACTAGCACAGACTTTCTAGCTTCCGCTGCTGACCTTTGGGCCTCCGCAGGGCAGATCCATGAAACAGACTTGCATGAGATATTGTTGTGAGCTCTAGGCCTCCAGTTGGACTTATGAGGTGCATTATCATGGGCTCTAGGTCTTCAGCTGGATCCATTCAGGACGTTGCCATGGGATCCAAACCCTCAGCTGGATTCTTTGGGTCTTAGTGTGTAAACAAGTTTCCTGTACTCTTTCTTTTGTATTTGATTCTTTAGGTGACCACTATAAAATAATAATATACAAATTATGTGCCTGTATGTAATTGTTTTCCTGACTATAACACCTGGTTGGCCTGGAAAGGGAAGGGGCTGCTGTTCATGCTGGTATGGGAGGGTGCAAGGGATTCCCTAAGCAGACGATATAGCAGAAAGAAAGGGGGTCCAAGGCAGGGGACTCACGTGTACAAAGGCCAGTAGTAGAGGACACCAAAGCTCTTTAAGAATAAAGGTAGCAGGGTGTATAGAGCTCTCTGGGATGAGGAAGAAGAAACAGCAGAGGCAAGCAATGTCCTGGTATGCAGGCTGAGGATCAGGGTCACCCCAAAACCCACAATCACCATAGCCACCCATGTCTCTAAAGGGTTTCTCCAGCTGCTGGGAGCAGAAGATGCCAGTGTGCAGAGCTAACCCTCAAAGGACACTACCCTAAGCTGGGCAGTGAGGGCTCTGCAGCTCGGGAGTGCTGGGGTGCCAGTCTCATCTTAAAGCAACGGATACAGGCCAGCCTCAAACTTAAAAATCTGCGCTCACCAGGAAGCCTTGCTGGGTCTCCCCAGTTCCCTGGGCTGGCTCAGAGGCCAATGCTCACCCTCCAGGGAGCTCAAGGGGCAAACACTTTGTGTAGCATTGGGCTCTGGATTCAACTCTCAGATCTGGGGTGCCTCTCCCCCACAGCTTGAGTGTCTGTGTCCTGGGATCCCTTCTCAGCTCTAGTCACCCTCCTGTGCAGATTAGCACAGAAAGGGCCGGATCAGCAGTGTCCAATTGAACTTTTAAGGATCCACTCCCCATGAGTCATGAGAATCCACAATGAGCAATTGAATAGTGATCAAATCAAGTGCTTGCTACTTGAACTCTTGAAATGTAGTTGGTGCAACTGAGAAACTGATTTCTTAATTTTATTTTATTTCAATGAATTTAAACTTTAGCTACCAGACTAGACATTCCATAAATAGAAAGCAAGGAAAAAAGAGTATGCTGATACACCCACTCCTTTTCTGTAGTTTTGATGGGACACATAAAAATTGTACATGTTTGTGACGTAGAGTGTGATGTTTCTGTCTGTATACATTGTGCAACAATCAAGTAAGGGTAATCAATCCATTGCCTTAAGGATTTATCAATTCCTTAAACTATCCTCACCCTACTGAGCAGAACCCCAGAACTTACACCCCCTCCCTGTCTAACCACAATATTGCACCCCTTGACCAACTCTCTCCATTCTCCATCCTCTCTCCCCAGCCTCTGGTAACCACCATTTCTCTTTCAGCTTCCGCAAGATCTGCATTTTGGACTCCACATAGGAATGGACTTAAGTGGTGGATGGACTCATCCTCCTGTCAGACCGCAGCAAGGGTGGCCACAGACCGGCATCTGGCTTATGCCTGCCTTACGATGGAGCCCAGCCCTGGGGGAGTCTAAGCCCTAGGAATCAAGCAAACAACACGCGCTCATTGTGACCAAAGCCTCAATGCTTAGGACCACAGGCCGAGAACTCAGGCAGGAAGGACCCTCAGACTCCAGCTCTTCCACCCTCCTTGTGCCCCCCGCAAGATCGGAGCCCAGAGAAGGAAGGGATGGTGAGGGTGCGGTGCAGCAGATGGGTCTCATAGCTCTGGGTCGCTGGTCCTGCCTCGGCCACCTAGGTGCCTCTTCAGGTAAAGGATGGGGCCTCTGTGACACGGACGCTGAGAGAGGTGGTGTCCATGGTGTCAGATATGGATGTTACACGCTCTGGTCCCATCTCCTCGCCTCCCACCCCTCCCCCACCTCTGCATTAGCAATATATTTCCAGGACACTCTAATGAAGTACGTCTTGAGTCTCCTTTCCACGGCTAATGAGGAGACAACAAGAATTTGACTAATACCAGTACAATTACTAGAGCAGTGAAGCGAGGGCCTTTGATTAGACGTGATAATTTGCAAGGCTGGGCTCTTCACATTAAGTTTGCAAACAGTTTAAAAATCACTTCCTCTGTTTATCCAGCTAATCCTTGCTTAATGACTCCAGACCTGAGGAAAGAAAGAGGAAATGTCTCTTTAAAAATTAATAAATAAATAAATTAAAACACTAACCACCCAAACCTTGTTTGCAGAGATCTGGGGAGTGACAGAAGCACAAAGGATTGTCACCTTTTCAGGAAGACTCCACCAACCCTGCACAGCCCTGAAAGGTTTTACAATCCCCAGACCTTGGTCTTTGCATCAGTTGTGACCAAGCTGGCTATCCTTTCCCCTGCCAAGAGTACTTGTGCTGATTGAAGAGACCAAATCATTCCCTGCTAGAGGCCTGAAGGCCTGATTCAGAAATGGCTGTAGGTGGCCATGAGTCTCCAAATGCTGTGATAAGGATAGGTGTGGGTGAAATTTCATGGCAGTGCTAGGTTCTTCATAATTTTTCTATGGAAGTGTAGTCCCTGAGCCCCCAGTGACATCCCCTGGCAGCTTGTCACAGATGCAAGAGCTCAGCCCCACCCAGCCCCGCCGGTGTGCAGTCCACATTTTCAGCAGCTCCCCAGGGTGACACACAGGCCCCCACCCCGCGTTTGAGCGATGCTGCTTTATGACATCATTTTGCCATCTCCATCTGTGACCTGGAGAGACATGGCCTTGCTGATTTCACTACTATTGATCCTGCTGATCTGTCCCTGTTCGCTGTGAGTTCTGCAGGGTCTCGTAGCAGGAATTATGCAAAAGAAGAAAACATTTGGGGACCGCTGGGCTCAACCAAGCTGGCATTGTTCATTTACCGCATACTGTAGAGCTTCCTTTTATTTTATCAGGACGTGTTTGCAGATCACGAAATTCACATACACCGTGGGGAGCAGGGGCAGGTCCAGGTCCGTAAAGCAGATTGTTTCTTTTTAATCTCCTCCCCTGCTCCTCCTCTCCATCTCTAAATCCCCTTTCCTCATTTTCATTCTCATTGTTATTATTAATCTTATCTCATGCTCATGACACATAATGTTTCTATCTATTGTGGGTATTTAGTACCTGTACAAGACAAATTTTTATTCTCCTTACTGTTCCCCTCTTCTCCCCCTCAACCTCCCACTCCTGGACCCCTTCCCACTGGCAGCAAATCTAAGCTCTTGTTCCTTTCTAGCCCTCCTTATTTTGCTCTTTGCTTATGTGTGGCCTTACTCAAGTGAGAGATGCCACGTGGTGCGTCAGCTTGTGTGCCTGGTTTATTTTACTTCACATTTTTGTCTTCAGGCGCATCCCTTTTCCTACAAGTGATGCAAATTTACCCTTTTCATGGCAGAATAATACTCTACTATGTGTAAACACGCTTTCTTTACCCAGCCATCTGTTGAGGGACATGCAGGCTGCTGCTAGGACTTAGTTATTATGGATTGTGCTGCTGTAAACACGGTTTTGCGTATATCACTGTAACATGATGACTTTAACTCCTTTTGGAAAAGACTTAGGAGAATAGCTGGGCCAAGTGGAATGTGTAATTTGAATTGTTTGAGAAACTCCACACTGATTTTCACAGTGGTTGTACTAGTTTTCAGTTCCACCACTAATGTAGAATGGTTCCTTTTTCACTGTGGCCACGCCAACGTTTGTTTTGCTTGACTTTTTAATGAATGCTGTTCTTTCTAGTATAGGATGGAATCTCAGCATTGTTTTAATTTGCATTTCTCTAATGGCTGGAAATGGTGAACCTGGTCTCATATATTTGTTTGCCATTTGTGCTTCTCCCCAGAAGTGTCCATTGATTTCACTTGGCAGTTTCTTGATCTGGGTCTTTTATTTTAGGTGACTGCATTTATTTTTTGAGTTCTTTATACACTCTAGCTATCTTTATAGCTTCTTTATAAAGCTAAATGAGGATCAAAATGTCTATGAGGGGACGTACTGATAGGGGAAGTGTTTCCCAGATTCACCTGATGAGAGAACCCCTCTTGGTGCATCCAGACCCTGGCACACCCCCAGCAATTCCGTGAGCACCAGTTTAGAAAATGCCATGGCAGACAAAGGTTAGTTCCTTAAGACAACTGCATTCTCTGGCCCCAGCCCAAGGAGGAGGCTCCTCCATCATAAAGGATCTCTGTCTCCCTCTGGCTCTCTCTCTCTCTATCTATCTATCTCTTTTCTGTATGTGTCACATGCCCCAGCACTCTGATCTTCTGGCATAAAACTCCACCCAAGCTCCTCCTTAAAACCATCAAACCTGGGTGACTGGAAAAAAGAGAAAGACTGGGAGGTGGGAGATGAGTGACGCCATCTGTGATCTCATGATTCCCACAGAGGTGACAGCGTTCACACCTCTTCCAGTTCCTGTGGAAGTCAACACAGCAATGGCAGAGCTGAGAGCTGCTAAACTGTGACTCCTGAGCTCAGGCTGTGCCCAGTACCTTTTGTGCTTTATAACGTCTGGAGACCTCATTCCTCAAACAAGGGCAGTGGCCACCTGCCACCTTCACCTTGCTCAGGTTGACCCAGAAGGGCAGAGGGACCGTTGGACTCACACACAGGTTGACTGACCCTGCTTCACTTAGGCAAGGTGTCTGGAAAACACACTTTTAATTACATCCTATTTACCACATATAAGCACCTACTCCACACTCAAATGCATGCGTCTCCTCACACTCTTAAGAAAACTAAGTTCAGGTTTATACACAAAAGCCTATGCACATATCCATATACATGCCACTATATGCAGTATCATCAAAATGTACAGCAATATTTAAATGTTTAAAGATATATTAGATTAAATAATTAGTCTTGCCATAATCTTGCTCAATATACTCTCCCTTGATTGGATCAAAATCACTGAGCCCATCATCCTTGCCACCTGCTGAAACAGTTCTGGAAGTCTTCTTTTGTGACTGTTTTTATAAGCTGTCATCAAAAGTTCTGGGAGTGCTGCTGCTGCGTGCCATCCAATAGAAAGGTAGGCTTATAAAAACATGACAGTGTGTCCTCATCCACTTTAGTCACCAAATCTGGGGGCTTCTGGTTCTTTCCAAAGTCAAAATGACCATGAAAGGGAAACATTTTGAATTGACTCAGGCTATCAAGGCAGCCACACAAAAGCACGACTAAAGACCCTTACGAAAGAGGACTTCCAGAACTGCTTCAGAAAGTGGCAAGAACAGTGGGAGAAGTGTGCGCAGAGCCAGGGGAGTGATTGGTGGCAATAAAGATATTTTAATCCTACATCATAGAGTGCCTTCGGAAACCGGGTTGGAAAGAGTTACTGCAGACCTTGCCAGCACCCCAAACCCAAGCTCTCTCGCTCTCCAGCTGCAGCTCCTAACATCCTGGAAACAGAAGCCTGACTGTGGGCAGACAGACAGGAGTCTGGAATTGGTCATCCTGGAGGATGTGACACGGGATTAGCACACACTGAGATGGGAGGGCCAGGTTCTGCCAGGCAAGGTAGATGCCGGGAAGCACTCCAGGGCCTGGGGCTGGGTCCTGAAACCCCTCCTGCTCCATTCTCTCTCCTGCCTCAATGGTGCAGTGGCTCTGGGAGCAGCACCATGCATGGGCAGAGGAACAAGGCAGGCTTGAAGTCCGCTGTCCAGGAATTCTGAGGGGTCCACCCCTTGTACATGCGCCCACACCCACGGGAGAGTGTAGCATTCCCCCAACAGAGCAAGAATGCCTCGCCTGGAGTGCTGCTGCGGTGCCATTGCATGGCTTTGACAAGTCACCCACCCTCTCTGGGCTTAGAAACTCCATCGGGCTCCAGGAAATGCAGGGCTACACAGCTCTATGTTCCCAGCAGTGTGACATAGGAGGAGGAAGGATTTTTGCCCCAGCTCACTGCCTGGGTTCAGGTCCTTGACCTCACTGCTTACAAGCTACCCCTCAGGTGTGTCACTGGCTTCCTAGTTCCCTGGTTTCTTCCCTGCAGAATGGCCACAGCGATGCCAGTGGACACATGGGAAAGCGAGTGGGAAGAGGTTGGACTGTGGGAAGGAGCTGGCAGATAAGAGAGGAACTCTTGCATCACGGTCGGGATTCCAACAAAGATAATCTAAAGAAAGCCCTGGCTGAGAGTCTGCATGGCGTTCGTAGGTGGCTGGGTGTGAAAACTCATGCTCAAAATGGCTATGGCACTGGCCCGCTGGCAGAGCACCAGACTGCTGCATGCATTAGGGAGAGATCGCAGGTAACACTCTTCCGCAGAACAAAACAAGGTGTGAAGCGGCACAGACAGAATGCTTCCTCCAGGGTGAGAAGGAGAGATTGCATGTAGTTATGTGGCTGCTTGTATTTGCAAATAGAGCCCCAGACTAGATGAATAAACAAAACGGGAGGGTAGGGGAGTTTACTCACGGGGGCAGGCGGGTAAGGGAGGAAGAAACAGGGCTGGAAGCGAATGTACCTTTTCATTTTGTAATCACTTTTGAGTCATACTCAGTATTATTCAAAAATAAAACCAAACAAAGTATAGGCTGCCTCGTAGCCGGCAGACGCCTGGGGCAAATGGTGTGAGCCAGCCGGCTTCTCTAATCCAGATGGACGGGCATCCAGATGGACGGGCAGACAGACAGATAAACAGCTTAGAGGCCAAGGTTCCCGAGGGGTTGAGGAATGGGCCCACGGGCAGGGCAGGGGCCGCCAGTGCTGAGCTGCTGCCACCTGGCCCAGCAGGCGGCCTGCGCCCTCTCCCCCAGACCCGGCTGGCTGGCGGAACAGGAGCACTGCACTCCCTCCCACTTCCCGGAATGAATGCTTTCTCTAAGCTCATTGCAAAACATCCTGGCAGGAGCTGCAAATGGGAGTCCAGAAGCACCCCCTGAAGAGAGGGAGCCGGCTCCTGAGGACATTCTGGCCTGGTGTGAGGCCCGCGGCAGGAGAGGTAGGCAAAGCCAAGCTGCCTTCGGTTCATAGCCAAACCCAGGCCCCAAGGTGTGGCCACGTGCTTACCAGGCCCACATCTGGGTGAGGCAGCTGCCCGAGTGTGGGCAGTGGTGGATGTCGGTAATTCACCCGGCCCAGCTCCACAACTCACTCTGGATGGCCTTGGGAGCCAGTACAAACCTTGTTAAGAAACGAGAAAGGAAGCCCCAATAGTAAGGTCTCCCTGGCCCCCAGCCCTTCTCCCCAGGAGTGCAAGATTCGGTTTAATGCAGAGCACTGACCTGGGATCAGGGCCTGAGTCCACCACCATGTGGGTCACCCAGGCAGTATCTCTTCTCCCTGGACCTCAGGCTCTTTCTCTGTATTAAAAAGGAATTTGCGAGTATAGACTTCTATCTTCAAACCTCATCTGGCTTAGAACCTGTAATGTAGCAAAAGCCCACACTGACTCTGCTGATGGGGGAGGGGTAGTGCAACCCCTGAGCATTTCCTGAGATCCTTGACTTCTTTAAGAATCCCTGGTTCTGCTTTCTTCCAAATTCCAGTAGTCACAAGGACCCTGACTCCTGCTGTTGTCCTGCTCCTCGCTCGGGGATCTCATGCCCCGCAGCACATAGACTTGTTACCTCAACAATGACTTTCAGATCGCTGTCTTAGTGGGCTCTACACCTGAGTGTTCACTGCCATGAGCTGCTTCACCTAGAAGTCCCAGCCATCCCACTAGCCACTCTGACATCTGAAACAGGAACTCTGGTCATCTCTCTCTCACTCATCTCCCCCATTAGTCTGTCCTATCATCAAATACCATTATGTTAGTCCTTATCAGTCCTTTATTTTACCTCTATTGTCCTAGCCAGAACTCACATCATCACCATCACTATCACCACCATTTCCCTCACCACCACTGCTACCGTTAACACCGTGATCACCCTCTTACCATCACCGCCACCACCATCCTCACCACCACCATCATGACCCCCACTATCATCACTACCAGCAGTAGCACCAGCATCAGCCCCATCAACACCACTATCACTGCCACGATCATCATCACTATCAGCATCAACACCACCACCATCACCATCATCACCACCATCATCACCACCATCATCATCACACTATCATCATCACCATTATCACCACAATCATCACCACCATCATCATCATCACCATCACCACCATCACCATCATCACCACCATCGTCACCACCACCATCACCATCATCAACATCATCACCACCATCATCATGACCACCATCATCACCACCATCATTACCACCATCATCATGACCACCATCATCATCATCAACATCATCACCACCATCATCATCAACATCATCACCAGCATCATCACCACCACCACCATCACCATCATCACCACCATTACCATCACCACCATCATCACCACCATCATCATCATCACCATCATCACCACCATCATCACCACCACCATCACCATCATCAACATCATCACCATCACCATCATCACCACCATCGTCACCACCACCATCACCATCATCAACATCATCACCACCATCATCATGACCACCATCATCACCACCATCATTACCACCATCATCATGACCACCATCATCATCATCAACATCATCACCACCATCATCACCACTATTACCATCATCACCACCATTTCCACCACTGTCACCACCATTACCATCTCCACCATCTTCATCACCATCATCACCACCACCATCATCACCATTATCATCACCACTATCACCATCACCACCATCATCGTCACCATCTTGCCATCACTATCATCATCACCACCACCTTCCTAGCCTCACCTCAGGCATCATCAGCATCACGAATTTCACCATCATCATCACTCACCCTCATCACTCACCCTCCTCACTGTCACCACTGATGTCATCGTGCTTGTCCCTCCCACGTCTCCAATCCTCTACCCATGATCTTACTGAAGAACCCTCTCCCTACTACAGACATTGTTAAGGGCTACATCTAAAATGCTCCCCCAAAAGTCTCGTGTGTGTGGAAGGCACCTGGATGGTGAGGGTGGTGTGCTTTACTCACCGGTAGGTTCGTCCATTGCTGAGTCCATAGCTGAATGTATTGCTCGGCAGCAAGATCTGGTCAGAGGTAGTCACTGGGAGCACGAACTGGAAGGTTATAGTCTTGCCCCTGGCTCCTCCTCCCTCCTCTCTCTGCTTCCTGCCCCAGTGGATGAGCAGCTGTCCTCCGCCGTACCCTTCCACCAGGCCATTTCGGCTTTGGAGTCAGCCATTGGACTGAACTCATGGAAACTGTGAGCCAAACCTCTCCTTTTAATTGTGTCATGCCAGGAATATAAGTTAGAGGGACAGCACCTGCTTGGTAAGTGTGAGGTCCTGAGTTCAATCCCTGGCACCAAAAAAAAAGAGAAAGAAATAGAAGTAAATTGTGAACATCAGACATTTTATCCCAGCACTGGAAATGTGACTAAGACAGGCACTATTTCTGACACCAAATGACAGATACTGATGACAGACACCTGATCCTTGATATGATCATAATCATCATGGATTGTTCCCATTGTCCTCAGAATAAAGTTCAAGTGATTTCCTTAGCCTTTGGTCATTCCCACCATAACCCACCCTGAATCCCCACAGCACAGAGCTTGGCCCTACCACACACCCCCATGAACACAGCACATTTTTTCCACCTGTGGCTCAGTTTGCACTTTCTTCTATCTGGAGTCCTTATTCCCTCTCTGCTCCCTGAATCCTATTAACCCTCCGGGCCCAGATCCATGCTGGTGCCTTTGGGGAGAAAGCATCATACTCCCACACAAGGGCTCATGAGCCTCTCCCTACCATGCCCCAGAAGCCAGTCCTATTCATAACTCTAGAAATCCAGGGCTCACAATAACTTGCCCACTAGATGGTGAGCCCTAGGGATCTGGCACAGGCAAAAGACCAAAGGAATCTCAGCAGCAGTAGATGGGAAAGGAAGTTGGCAAGAACAGGAAGGAGTTCTTCTTCCCCAACTGTATCAACGTGAGGCCCAGCATCCTTTGTCAGAGCACAGCCCATGTCCAAGTCAGCCCAGCTCCGGAAGATGGAGAAGCATTGAGGCCACCCCATGAAGGCAGGACACAGCCTTTCCCCACCCTTCCCAGGCACAGTGGGTGGCTGCAGCAGGAGGCGGCAAGGTAGTCTGGATACTCAGGACCTCACATATCCAATCCCTGCACACTGCTCAGCTCACCTCGCTGTCTCCAGATGGATTTTGAGCTGAAGACCAGTGCTTCATTTCCCCCTCGTTTCCCGCTCCGTCCACTTGGCTCTAAGATCTTACTCCGCATAAAAGGCAGCCCTCGTTTTTTAAGCAGATCTGGGGAGCAGGCCAGCATTTCTTCACTGGCCACCACCTTGCAGCTTGATCTTGGGTGGGAGATGAGAGGTAGCCAGAAGGATGTCCCTGTTAAGGAAGGGGACCAGATGTCCTTCTTCCCCAGAAGCTGAAAGAGTGGTTCAGCTCCTGTCCCGAAAGAGTTCAACTCCTCTGGGACCAACCGTCCCAGAGATGGTACTGGTTACCACATCTGGGAGACCCCAGAACTTGGGCAGGGTCAGTTGAGAAAGAGTGACACAATCCTCCAGGCTGCTTATAGCAATCTGTCACCCTTGGCAAGGAGAGCTCCGGCTGGAGAGGAGGGAACCGGCAACCCTGACTCAGCTGTTCCTCTTTCCAGCCTTTGCACAGAACGACTGCACCATGTGCCTCCCTGTATTGGCCTTTGTTAAGCAGAGGCCTCTCCCTTAAAAATAAAGGACTTCAGGGCCTACACGTCACTTAACTGTCCTGGGTTCTGCCCCTTGGAGTCACCAAGAGTGATAACACCCAGGCCTACAGCTCTCAGGCTCACAGTGCCTGGTGCACCTGTCATCCACTCAAGGTCAAGGGGCTCTGGGGCCCAAACTGGGCATGTCCATAAAGCCACCTCAGCCAGAGACCAGGATGGCCGAGGAGGGTCAAAGCGAGATCAGAAGGAGACCTGGGGTTAAAGCTATGCACCAGGCCCAGGTCTTGGTCCAGCCTAATGCTACCCACCGCCCCCACCCCTGTCACACTCAGCCCCTCATTCTCCCCACCTCACTCACCCCACCTCACACTCCCACTCTTTGACATTCTTTGTCACCACATCTTGATGTCCCCAGCTCTCCTGCCCCTCTTCCTCTCCAAGTCTCAGTCTATACTCCCCATCCTTCCCATTTCACAATCCTGCCTCCACTGCTGTCTTCCGCTGCCCAGCCCACCCACGGCAGCCCTGTGTGCTCCTCCAGCATCAGGCATACAGCCTGGAGAATGCGGGCCCCCAGCCCCCCAGCCAGCCCACCCATGTTTTGGTTCATATTCCAGTGTTTGTTTACCTCTCCACGGTGTCGCCTGTGCAGTTGAGAGCTCACTTTCACATTTATTACCTCATTTGCTCCTGACAAAGACTCTGTGAAGATTGCAGATCGGGGAAAGGCAAGGAGAGCTATCTCTTCTCTCTGTGAGCAGGGGAAGAGACTACACCAGGTCACACAGCTGTCCAAGCCATCTTCCCAGCAGGAGCATCAGCAAACACCCATATGGGCCTCTATGCCCAGTGTGACCTGTTTTCACAATGCCGGGGCTGCCAGCTGCATCCTGAGAGCCCACAATGCACTGTTGCACCCCTGAACTCCTGTGGGTTTGTTCTGACCCAGACTTTTCTGATTTAGCTGCCTGACCCCAGAATGCCACCTCTGCAGTCCCCATTGTACCGGGCACCCCAGGCCTGCTAGTTCCTAGAAGTGCAGCTCTGGGGACGTCTCCTGGCCTTGCAGAATGGTAGGAGCAGCAGGTCCTGGGTTGACTCTGGCTGTGCTGAGCAGTGCTCCCACTCCCACCACACAGAGACGCTGCGCTCTTTGTCCTGGCCCTGGAGCAAAGCCAGCTGCAGAGCAGCCAAGAGAGATCTGCCCCTCCGAAGTCACCGGGAGGTGATGTTTTGGAGCACAGCACTGATGGCTGCTGAGTGGCTGCTCTGTGGTGTCACCAGCACCCTCCAGCTCCTCACATCCACCTGAGTCTGCATGGCTGTCTCCCGTCATCTCTGATTCACGTTCCCCCCTGGGTAGTCATCAGGGAAACAACACCACCACTACCCCCAGCCACCAACCAGCAAGCTGGGTGCATCCGTGACCCCTCAAGACCCCTCACCTCCCAGCCAGGTTCTAGGCCAGGTCCCAGAAAAGCTACCTCCCACAGGCCAGCTCCCCTGGGGCTCCTGTCATCTGTTCCTCTCCTGCCTGTCCACTCACCATACAGGGGCAGCAGGAAACAAACAGCTTAGACTCTGTGGCAGGTAGAGCCGGGCTTGCATTGAGCCACTTTTATAAGTGTGCAACTTTGGCAAACTACCCGCTTCTGGAGTGTCTTGACATCGCTATGCATCCTCTCCCCTCTGTGTCTCAGGCCTACAAGTGGCCCTTTAATTATAACTTGACTTCCTCTTGGGACCCCCCCCAGAAGACAAGCTGCTGAGCAGGGTCCTGAGGCCACTCAGTGTGAAGATTGCAGCTCGTCCTTGCAAATTCATTGCTTGTTATTCTTGTTTACCAAAAATAAAGCACAACAGGATAAAATGTCCAAAGGAGATGGAGAAAACGGAAGCCGGCCACATAACACCAACAGCAGAAACTAACACGAAGATAGAAGAAACCAGGGTATGTGTGCCTTTCAAAGCCCTGGGAAGCGACTGTGGTGCCCACTTGGGTTAGAGTTTGCCCGCTATAAACTCACACGTAGAAGGAGTTAACTTGAAGTATATGCCAAGCACCTCTTATCCAAAGTGCTTGAGCCCAGAAGTGTTTTATATTTTTTTTCAGATTTTGGAATATTTGCCCATAAGTGATAGATACCTGAAGATAATTCTACCATCTCTTTAGAGCACCTGAGTTTTGACATTGGGCAAAGTCAGATACAGAACTTTTCTCATTTGTGTGATTCCAGTCCTAAAACAATTTTAGATTTTAGAACTTGGATTTTCAGAATAGGGATGTTCAACCTGGGCTACTTTGCTAAATAACCAGGTAGGAAGCTCCCTGTCCCTGGAAGTATACAAGAAAAGTCTGCAAACCTTGTTGGGAATGTTGCAAAGAGTTGTCGTTCCTGAGTTCCTCTCCCTTTCCATTGCTAACACATTCGCCCATCATGAAGCACTAAATGGCTATTAATTCTCTCCATGCCCACCACCCAAGCCAAGTGACTGACCCCTCCTGCTGCACAGTGACAGCAGCTCCAAGATGTCCCTGCACTAGTCAGCCTCCTCTGCTCCTTATTTCCTACCAGAAGCCAGACTGAGCATCCAGAAGCAGGAACAAAGGAGTCAAACCCTCTCGGGCCTCCAGTGGGCTCCTTAGAAGTCTGACTGCCAAAGTGTGACCCTAAGCCCTTCTCACCCAGGCTCACTGACGCTCCAGCACCTCCTACCCACATGGACATCTTGCAGAACAGGCAGAAGCACCTGTGGCCTGCCTCTCCATCCCACCGGTGGTCCTACAGACCCCCAACTTCGCCAGCATGATCCCCACTTCTCAGCCAGGTGTGCCTAGTTGCTTCATCTGCTCACCATGTTCCAGCTCCCACTTGTCCCACTAGGAGCCCCCCGGAAACCAAAACTTTCCAGGGCCAGCCTGGGCACAGTCCTGGGAAAGCCTGCATCTCTCTACTCACGTGTCACATACATGGCAAGAGACTTTCCCCCAGCACAAGACCGTGTGGCTGAAGAACCCCATTTGTGTGCCCCACAACTCCGTCTGGGGCAGGCTGGTACAGCCAGGGAGAGGGAAAAGGCAGGCTCCTGGAGTAGGTCCCACCCGGCTGGCTGTCCTGACCGCCAGGAGAAAGAACTGCACAGCAAGGCTGGGGGCCACTTAAATACATTTCTACACAACCTCTCGGCCCAGGGAGTACCACCCCACCGCTGGAGGCCTCAGGCTGTGCCCCATGTCTGCAGGAGTAGCAGCCCCATGTGCCAGCTGCTGCAAAGCACCGGGGCCTCCTTGTGCTACGTGGGCTCCATAGTGCCAAAGCCGCCAGGAGCACCAGGGCTGGCTCACATTATCTCAGCATCTTCAGGGCCCCAAGTGTCTTCCCCATCTGCTTCCCAGGAATTGAGGACACAGAGGGGTCCCCCTCACTCTCCTTGTATGCATCAGGGACAACCATACAGGAATGAGAGACAGAAGAGAGCGGGACAGGGAGGAGCCCCAAAGCCACAGCTGCCATCTGGTCTCCAGGCCATGGGCCTCATAGCAGGAGCAACAGAAGGAAACCCAGAGTGGTCACCCAGTCCCTCTCAGACTCTGTACATTCCCCACTATTTATGGTTTGCATGTGCTAGCACCAGACCTGTGCCTGTTACACATGAAAATGGATTCATCCTTTACAGTACCCCTGGGCAGGAGCTGCTAGTATTGCCATTGTTTGACAGATGGGAAATGGAGGCACAG